TCGTATTCTTTTTTGATTTATTTTTTATCAATATGCTTTTGATCCACATTAAAGTCATTACAAGCATTTATTTAGTTTTACAGTCGGCTTTTCAGTTGACTTGTTGAAATATGAATAGCTTTTCTAGTTATGTTATGTTTATATCTAATACATAAAATTCTCGTGTGTTTGTAATTGAACTCCTCCGAAACGGCTCAACCGATTTTCGTGAAATTTTGTGTGCATATCGGCTAGGGTGGAAAATCGGACAACATCTATTTTTCATTCCCCTAAATGTTAAGCGTAGTCCACCCCTAACATTTTTTTCTATCCTACAAATAATTTATATGGTAAAACAACGTTTGCCGAGTCCGCTAGTTTAATTGTAAATATTTCTATCACATGGGTTTTGTCGAAGTATATTTTCTCGTATCGTGTATTTCCTGTGATAGCACAGTTATTTATCATTTCGCTATTAATATTGTATCTTCGAACAAAACACCTAAGTCGATTACTGCTGATTAAGAAGATTAAGTGCTTATTATAGATATGGATACCCATAAGTCATGGGAATACAATGGTAGAAGAACAGAATCAGCATTAATTCCATAGTACTATTCTATTGTACGTTGAGCATCTATTGTCTTAAATTGTAATTTATAGAGTCCTCACGTTACCGACATTCGCCGATGATAAATTCAGCACGCCTAATTAGATCCACCGCAAAGGAACTGGTGTTTTCGTTAATAGTATTGTGTGCGGTGTCAAATTCTCTCCCCTCGACTGTAACATCGCTCTGCTCTTAGTAATAATGTTTATGCTGTTCCGGTTCAGGAATTTGCTTTCGGGAACATTTATTTCTTTCTATGCGGAAACAGCTGTCAGAACTCCTTTTGTAAAGTTAATAAGTATAATCTCTTGACTGTAAGTTTAGGCTTGCTCTATGCGCTTGTCCTTAACGACCTTGTTAACTCAAATTTTTCGTTAACTTTTTAGTCGAGGAACCTGATTTTAAATCCCAGTGCCAAGACCCAGGTATTTGCTGGATGGCGTTTAAGTGCTGCTTTCCATCATGAGGAAATCGTGGGAAAAATAAAATGTGAGTATTTTGATTGCATGTATCGTGATGTATTTCGATGACATGCCAAGTATGATGATCCAGCGGATTTTTTGGTGGAACATCCGTAATATATTTGGAAAGAGGTAGCCCTGCCCGTTAGCTAAACGCTAAACGACTTCTTCTAATGAATCTCATCAGGTTTTATCGCTTACACCAAAGATGATTTTCCGTTAAAACTCTCAGCCGAGAGGTTTCGCAATCGTTGAATTAAGTGTTACCATCAATCAACCTGTTATTTACGCGCAAAGTAATTTCTAATCCTCGAACAGTGGCGTCGGACGGCGGCAATATTTCATCGTTGGGATTACGCGTTGGGATGACGGTCGTGACATCACTCCGGGATGGAGCCTGCTCAGTGTTTTATCCCCGGCTAGATTTACTGCGGAACCCTCCGAACGGGATGATACAGGAACGGGTCGGGTGCTTTGTAGGAAATGAGCGATTTGATGTTGCCGAGCGTTTGGAATATTTAGGCGGCCCTCGCAAGCTGTACGAGGGTCAGGCTGTAACGAGTTGCGGAAGTTACCGAGCGACGTAGCATATGTGTATAGATAAACAAAACGGTTTGAAACGTTTCCCTGTTATAAATTTAAAATGATGATTTTGTGTGATGCGACTAAGACATCAAAATCATTTTAAATAATTCCCAGTAATTCTTCTAACACTCGCAGTTTGAAATAAAGCAGCATTTAAATAAACATAGCCATGCTAAGCTAAGTAATATGGTCTTTTAAATGTACTTAACGAGACGAAAGTACCCTCCGAAGCGATTTAAATTGGCCCCTAACACTGGAAGTATTAATGCCGTGAAGTAGTAATAAAGGGGATTTCATTGCCTAGTTGTCAAGTCACGGCGTCACCATTCCGCGTCAATTCGCACACGGCTCGTTTCTTTAACGACCGCGCTAAGGTATTACGCCGGCTTGAGTTCGGCTATACTCGCTAACGGCAAAAGAATCCATCTCGTGTGTACCCCATTGTTTTATAATTCAGAGGTAGGTAGGCGCGTTAATCTCACCCGCATCAATTCAGGGACCCAGGTCAGCATTAATCCGGGGGGCCTATTAATTATGCTTTGAGGACCACGGCTCTCCCTTACACGGATTTCTCTCAATGGATAAACACTGTACGTAAATCAATTTAATTGAGGCGTAAATGAAATTGATAAATTTTGTTTTTTGAATATAATCAATTGCGTTTGAATTTCGTAGTATATAAACGGATTAGAGAATTTAGTTTATTATATTTAAGATATATATAAGAGTTTTATGGATATGGAAAGTAATTATTGAAATCAATTTCAAAACGTGATCGCCTTTTTAAACAAAGTATAGGGTCTATAAATACTGCCTTATTTAACTTTTTTTTTTATCTAATATTGTTCTGTGTTATTTTTAAAGTTATTTTTTTACTACAAACGCATATTCTCTAAAATTGTAGAAGCTGTCCTATCCTAATAACTCATCCTTCTGCTCTTATCACACCTCGGTGGGGTCGATACAACTTGTGAATTTTGTTGTAAGCGGGTTTGGCTATGTTTTTACGAACAGCCACCTGCCTGACCTCTACTCTCATAGAGAAGCAAACACCTAAATCGGGAACAATTATCTGTGGGTCAAACAAATGTTTACCCCGTGTGGGAATCGAACCCACGACCCCCGACACCGAAGTCATATGTTTAGCAAAATCATTTATTCTGATATACTTTAAATTGAATCTTTTTCACCTAATTTTTCAAATTTAATAGGGAAATTTATGTACTTTTCGACCAGCATTCAAATTGAATTCAATAAATAAATAAATATTTTAAGACACATTTTTATAAAATTTGCTCCAGTCCCAAGTTAAGCGACACTTGTACTATGGGTACTAGATAAACATACTTAACTTACAATTTATTATTTTGTAAATAAATATTATACATTTATTAACATCCAGACTGACAAAACCCTATGTTCATCGCACAATATTTTCCAGTCGTGGGAATGAACCCCACACCCTCTGGCGTAAGGGGCAGGTCCAGTACCCACTAAACCAGTCGCCAAAAACCGAGTTAAGCCTGTTAATATTCGTAGATTTTACCCTATCAGCACCATGGGTTTTCTCTAATAGCATCATTACCACTAATGCATTTCCCGGCATTTGTCGAACGTTCGTTACCCTAACCGGCGTATTTATTAAAGCTCTCATTCTACAGAACGCCATTTTTAAATCGCTTTTAGTTTTGTATCGTTTTCTTATATATTTTATTCGAAAATATACAATTTATTGTGGGTAAATTAAAGAAAAATTAATTAAGAACGGATACCAGCGAACAGTTTTTATTAACTTTTTATAGGACTTCTAATTAATTGACAGAGAAATGATTTGGCGTGGAAAGTAGTGGAAAGTGGAAATATAACAGTAAAAACGCTTTCCATTGGCAAAAGTTATTAAAATATATTCCTTCATTTATTTTCTTCCTGTATGTTGCGCAGTATCTTTTATTTTTTTTCTAGTATTGCATTCAGTTATTTATTTAATAAGCTAATAGTAATATATAATAGTAGATGCCTTCTATTACAAATGCTAATGGACAGATGCATGTAAATATGTTTTTCATGCATAATTTCTGTTATTTCGTTTTATTATTTTGACCGTCAGTTAAACTCGGCTTAGTACCAGTATGGTCGATAACAAAGTTTTATGATCACTGTTCTGATGTATATTCCGATTACATTAACAGAAACTAAATTTTCTAATGCTTTTTCAAAAGTAAAAGTTAAAAAAAGAAAAAGGTTTTTGGGGATCTACAAAAACAGAGAAATATTTATGATATAATGTTATACACTTTTTACTGAGGCTAATTAGTCTAAAACGTAAAAGGCGTCAACCTTGTTGCCATAGGCGCGGCATATATGTAAGACAGTGATTTTGCATTTGTGAAATCTGATAATATAACGTTGGTACACGTTTGATAATATTTAAGAATCAAGAGCTTTTTCAGCAGTTTATATTAAAAATGTACATAGTTAACAATGAAACTGGTTTGTATGAAAGATGATACAGTCAGGTCAGTTTCATCGTAGCATCGTAGACACATCGTAGACACATCTACATTTAATACGGACCGATTAAAATGGAAAAAGTCTAAAATAGAAAATGACTCGATGTTCCAGTTCCAGTGTGAACACTGCTGAAGAGACAGTGTTAGAAATTAAAAACCGTCTCAAGACCTTTTTGCCTTAGAACAATCAAACATGTAGCCATTTGAGAACCATATGGCAAATTCGCTGTAATTATAGTGGTATTTAGAAATCAACTGAGGAATAATCCTAAAAAAATGGAACTCAGCTATTTCGATGTACCAATTATAGTATTTCACGTGAGCTTCTATACTCCGGGGTGCTGTAAACCAAATTCGCAAAGTGTGAAATTGTGAACTTCCGTCGGGCAACAAACGTTCGGAGTTATGAATTAATTATTGCTCCCCGAAGGCTGTCTTCTTTTGATTTGTTGCTTTTATTGCTTATTAAAACTTGTATAAACTGAACCTAGAGTTGAATCTGTTCTTTAAATTCAACTTAGCTATGTTAAGAAACCATATAGTCGCATTTATGTTTAAGAACATTTCAGACATCCTCTTTTACATTTTTTTCAGTTCTATACACGGAGCCACAGTATATAACCTTTTTATAATACCGAAAATATTTCTATCCCTTACGCTTTAAAACCTTTTTAAAATTTCATGCCGTTTTTTTCCGAAAAATTGTAAAAAAACAGGATTTCATTTAATCAACCGATTTTGACATCGATATTGTCTGTCGTTTATTTAAATGATGACTTGCAGACGAGCGTAGATATTTACAAAATCCAGTTATTACAGGTGATTTTACAAGTGTTTATCTGCGACGATTCGTACCTGTAAAGCGGGATGCCGGCGTCGTCTCTGAACCAGAACACCATGTACACCTTGTCGTTGGCAGCGGTGCCAAGGTCGCAAGGGAACTGCGCCACCATCCCCTCCACTGCCTGCACGTCCACAGTCCGTACACCAGCTGAAACAAAGGTTACGTCATTAAGATGTTTTGGAAGCACCAATGAATCTTTCCCAACTTTAAACTTTGCAGCTTATTTAAATAACATATATAGTTATTAAAATAACATTACAAACATTGAAACTATCTTTATATTATGAAATTATGTCAAACGAACAGGTGTTGTAGATGGGGTTAGGATTCCGATAGAAAACATCCTCCTAAGATTGTTATTAAGAACTTCACTCACATAGCATATTTTGATAGAGATTTAATTGGTTATAGTTATTTCATTCCTATTATGAATTGCAAATCACGATAATTGTGGCTTTAGTTTCACATTAATGCAAATACTTGTCCGGTAGGAATAGAAAGATTATCTGTTGTTTAGATCACAGTAGTTGTGGCTTTAGTAACAAATTAATGCAAAGACTTGTTTCGTATAGAAAGATTATCTGTTGTTCAGCTTAATACACTGCGATCTATCAAACTTTATCGGCTTTTGACAATCGTGACAACTTTAAGTGGCTCTCCATCACCGTCGCTACTCGCTTCGTTCAGAGATAACGTAAACATAATAAGATGGGGACTAACATCAACCCTTGCGGAAACTTCAGTTACGTAAGTGATAAATACTTAACGACGTGCAATAGTATACATTCAATGGTAAATGCAAATGACATAAAAGTGTTTGAGAAATTTTAATTTCTTATAGTGCTAGTGCTTGCACTTCAGATTACACATTAAAATTTGTAGAAAAAAGTACAAAAAGTTTTTCGCAGCTGTTGGAATCGAACCCACGTCTTCGGGATTCGCGTCCCTAACGGTCTCACGACACAACTGTTTAGTAAAGCAACTAATCTAAACGTCTGTTTGCCACACCGAAGAAAATCTTAACTTCTTTTACCTACATTGTTTTTTAGAATTTGAATCAATTATTTTTACATCTGTATTTATATCGTTTACAGTATACAATATATGGTTTTTCATATTATATGATTGTTACTAACCGACTTCAAAACGAGAAGGTTAGATCCTTTACACTATGTAATAAATATATGATTTTTCATATTATATGTATTCCGGTCTTAAAACGCCCATTAGCCATAAAAAGATACGGAAGCCGCATGCCGAAACCTACCTCGTGACTCACAAAGGTCAGGTCGCCGCTTAAACCGAAGTTAGTGACACGTAAATTCTGTCTGAATCGAGTTATGATAGAGTACTTATGATTTAATAGTACAAGTCGAATAAACTTTTATTTGACTTTACAACTTTAAAAAAAAAACTTATTCAGAACACTGTGACTAGGTTACTGAGTTATTTAGTTCGATATTTCAAGGACTATTTCTTAAAATTATCACTTCAAACTTCACTCAGACTTACAAACATAAATCCTCCGCATACAAAAATATTCATAAATATCCTTCGCCACCTGAAGAGATACTTTAAGACACACGTTATAATTGATAAAATATACTATTATGATAGTATGGAACACTCCACCTATATGAAACAATCCGCGCACCTATATTCCTTTTACGATCATAAAGTGAAGTTATAATAATTATGACCCTGCAGATTTGTGGTTCTGCTTTATTACATACGAGGTTAGAATACTGTTATAACATAACGTAACTATTAAATCCAGGTTAACAAAAATTAAGGAACAGCCAGTATAAATCATCTGTTAAAAATTGTTACGTATTTATTGATGGATTTTATTTTCATTTCAGCCTTAACTCTGTTGAAATGCACCACGCTCGCTTTCTATTTGTGTTATTTACGATAGCGAAATATTCATCGGCGAACTTTTTAACAGAATATAAGCTACGAATTTCATTTTTCCATTGGACCTACCCTCCCGCTTACGTTTGGTTTAAATGTTACCTGCCAATTTAATTTTAGATACTTCAATATTTGTGCTTTTCAACAACAAGGAGGGTCCATAATTTTGAATTATTTGGTATGATCAAGATAGATAAGGAAATTGTAGCAGTAAACGTAGACCACTTACCCACTAACTAGTAATTAACTAGTTAGAATTTATAAAAACAGAAATGAATAAGCGTTTGGTTTTGTTTTATTAAATTATAACAGCAGTTGTTGGTCTTTTATTCAATAGTAGGGTAATAACAGAAAATAAATAAAAGTTTGAATGACATAACAAAAATAAAAATAAATGAAGTAGGTAGTCCTGTATGCTGAGACCCCACGAATGCCCGCGTCAGCGAGCTAATTTAATCAATGTATTACTTTGTAGCAATATATTACTTTGTAGCAATATATTAATTTGTATTAATTTGTAATAAGTAATACTTAGCTAAACAGATGTTAATAACATTCCTGGAATTCCAAATACCAGATAGTATTTTATTTCATGAGAGTATGAGAGTAGAATTGTAAGTCAGTCTTAAGCCAACTCTGGTAGCGAGCATACATACTTTAGTTGGAACTGTAACCAATATTCAGTCTAATTAAAATAAAGTTGCATTTTTAAAACGCCTTCCGGCTCCCATAACACTTGACTAGGTAAAAATATATTTATTATCAAGAAACAGCGCGTACGATACCAATCCATGGTCGTACACGTGTACGTCCCAGGATTTAAACTTGACTTGTTTTATTATCTGACCGTCACAATATAAGCACAAACGTTTTAATCCAAATTATAATAGAAAATGATCGTGGTCGGGGGTGCAGTTTAAAGGCAGCTGCGCTACTGGGCGTGGGTTCGAATCACAGCACAAGTTCCGGCTCTGGGTGCTTCTTCCCATGAAGGGTTGAAATCAAGAAGGTGGCCGTAAACTTCACGCCGGTCTTTTGTGAGGTCCTGGTTCTTTTCCAACGGCAGGTCCCATTCGTGCAACAGCGAAGATTGTTGCGTGGCTCTACCAGCCATGCATTTAATCCAGCTTATTTAGTTCCAACGGCTGGTTGTCGTTTACAAGCAAGATAGGATATCTCTTAAAAAATGTTTTTAAAGAAAGCTATTAGGTACATGATTGGAATTATTAAGCATCAAAACGCCTCCTATATGCCTAGCTTATGATAAAACGCGTTCTATTAATGTTTTGTTGATGAAATCGGCAATAAAACTTTAATTGAACGCAGATTACGACAGGGAATCGGTCACTGTTGGCAATTAATCAACGCGGCCTATCTACCGGCGCGCCATTACCATATTCGCTGCCGCTTTCGGCAGATGTACGTCATTTTGCGTGCGTGACGTGAACCAATAACTCGTATTTTCGTGGTCTACCTTTGTAAAGTTTCTGCACATCATAGAGCCAAACATCATACAACAACAGTGTAACCTCTTGCTACCTTGCTACCTTGGACTGTAACTGTTTCTGTTTTTTGTTTTCGTTCGGCGGGCAAGGTAACAAGTTCCGCACTTTGTTAAAGATCAATAACACAATTAACTGTGGTAGGGCCACGCAGCAGCCTCGGCTGTTGCACGAATGGGCAGGCTCGTCCGGATAAGTACCACGACCTCACAGAAGACCGGCGTAAAGTGAAAGTATAATACTTTCGCGTTTCGTCTGGTCAGTGAGGTGACCGGAGCCCAATTTTCAAAAGGTTGTCAACGCATCTGCAAACCCTCGGGTGTAGCAGATGTCTATGGGCGGCGGTATTCACTTAACATCAGGTGAACCGTCTGCTCGTTTGACAACTATTCACATAAAAAAAAAAAACGGAAGTATAAGCTCTGGTATTTCAGGCTACAGTGTTTATTTTATCATCATAATCATCATTACAGCCTGTTTGAGTCCACAGTCTGCTACGAAACACTATCATGAGCCACCTGCATCTATCGGCTTTCCGCATATTTGCACAGGTTGATCAACCTGTGCAAATATGCGGTGAATGCAAATATCAAAGTGTCGTTCGTTGTGGCGTTCTAAAGGTGAGTATAGACTACAACATTTACTTGTAACAGAACAACGAGCCGCTCTATGATATGTTCTAGTGTATCATCCTTTCACGAACTAAACGTCAGCACGCTCGCCTCTTTGTTACAAACCATATTGCATATTGGTGTAAAATTTCGTCGAGCCACGAGTGCGGGCGATTTTAAGTCTAACATTAATTGCACACCTCCAAGAATTTGTCTTCTGTTATAAATGTTCATTTGCCACCATCTTCTATTTCTGTTTTTCTTTTTTCTTCTAATATAATTCATCAAAATAAACGCAGCACACGCAACTTGTAGGTCCGACATTTCAAAAAAGAATGAACGCAAGGTACAACGAAATGTTGGTAAATGCACACTCGCTGTGAGCATTTACCCGTAACATAACACCGAGCATTCGCAGGAACGTTACATTACATGGAAATGCTTTGGAAACTGAGCTTTTGCGTGTATTGTACCATTCGTAAGAACGTTACATTGTCACAGAAATGCTCCAGAAAATGTTGTAGTCTATACACACCTTAAGGGGGATGCCTATATTCAACAGTGGACGTCTTACGGCTGATGATGTTTTACAAATTCCCACGTGACTTATCAAATATTCCTATTCTCAATTTGATCTGTCCTATTACACTTAAATACGGCAGCACAAATAATGTCCGTTAAAAACCAAATTTTTTTTACTTTTACGTACAATATTTAATTATTTGAAAAATGTTCTGAAAGTAAAGAACACTTAATTTTATCAGTTAGCGATATATGGCAGTACGGTTTTTTAGAAGCTGCAAGCGAGCTAGCGGTTACCTGCAATACCCGTAGGAGTAGTTGCAGATGCGTTGCCACCTTCAAATAAAGTGTAAGTCTTAGCCCATCATTTTATACACCTCAACAATGGGTAGAATTTTTCGTCAAGTTATTGGCTTCGGCGTCGGGGGTCATGGATTCGATCCCATAGATGGTTTTTTCGCATCTGGATGTTTGACCACGTGAAATTTATATTTGTAAAAGGTCCTTATAACACAGGGTAATGTTATCGTAAAGTAAGGGCAATATTTAAAAAAATGAAAGAATTATGTTAAGATTAGGATAAGTTGTTAAACACTGTCACACAATGATATATAAAAACTGGGTTTTGCACCTTTTATCATAATAAACCATTATAATTTTCAATTAGCAAAAACCACGTTTCTAATCACGATAGCGGAACTGCACGGAAATAGGCTGTACAGTCAACAGAATCATTAGAGAGCTTAAATGAACCGTGTTTCGAGCACCACTTAGAAAATTGGGGCATCTGCTTTTGTTGATCATAAAGGCGGAGCGTGTATTGCGGGAGTGGTTCATAATTGAAGTTGAGGAACCAAATTGACTCTTAGAGCATCATCCATTGTTGTTCAAACGGCAATTGATAACTTGCGGATGTTTTTTCTTCGCGGGACGGGACGCGAATGAGTGGTATTGTAATAAAAATGCCATGGTACCTTTTAATTCATTTCGGTCAACGAATTCATATTGAGGATGGTATAATCGAAATTGTGAATAGCAACCGAATTTTCAGAGCAGCCATAAGGGCCGATCGACGATATGAGTTTGTTCGTACTTAATATATTATTGCTACAGTTTCCATTGTTGAAAATCCAATTAATTTGGAAAGTTAACTGACACCTTCGACTTCTATTCAATTTCAAGTGTTCGATAAGCTAGTGAAGATTATAATTATGAAACCGATTCATAAGAAATAGCGTTATTAGGACTTTATTACACCTGACATTGACTGGTATGTATTATGAAGGTCGAACACATTCATTCCTAAGCTGTTTCCAATATTGTTAAAACGTAATGTATTTTATTCGACAACGATGTTTCGTCAAAGTTCGCTATGAAATCCTAACATTAACCTGAAATCAACGTCACCGAGCTTGCTAATCGCCATTTTAAGTGTAGGTTAACCAGGCTGGTCTTTATATAAAGTGGATCATGAAACAACTGCACGTTAGAAATTAAAATTTTTAATAGTACTAATCTCTGCACTTAACTTTTAACATTAAAATTTGTAGAAAAGCCGTTTAGCTTAGTGGCTAAAACGTATGGCCGCGAATGCCGAAGACGTGGGTTCGGTTCCCACAGCGGCGACAATCTTTTAGTACTTTTTCTACAAACTTTAACAACTGCACATGTAAAAATATTTAAAAAGCAATCTATATACACATATGGATTCCCAGCTTGCTGTTACTCTAGTGTTCTAACACCTCTCCGTGATTGTTCGGGTTTAATGAAACCACCACCAGGAGATATTGGCTTAAGAGTAATGATGTTAAGTAAGGATAAAATGTATACTTGTAAATGAAATTCAATGCGTCCATATTCGTCTGATGCACAGTTCCCAGGGGCGTGCCCTTCGTCGATCAATCTTAATAAAGGCACCAAAGCCATATTTTTCTTCGTTCTGCGAGCGTGCCGTGTCAATCACTCTGACAGACTGCCGCTATTGTGCGGCCACCCTAGTGCGCCGCATCGACGAATTTCCGTTGCGGAATGCGAATATTATCTTAATGGATTCTTCCGCAATACGCATTTGGTCCCCGCTTTACTCGACTCCAAAGCAGACCCAAAGTACTAGAGTGATTATGTTGATTTTATCTTTTTTGAGAAAGAAAACGGCAAACGACGTGGCTGTTCACCTGACGTTAAGTCGTTACCGCTGCTCATGGACTTTTATAGTACTCGCGTTGCCACATCAATAAAGTTGACCCCGGTAACCTCACTCACCACATTATCTTAGAAATATGATACTACCACTTAGAGTCGGTCTTCTGCAAGGCAGTACTTCTTCGAACGGACCTGCCCATTCGTGCAACAGCAAAGACTGCTGCGTGTACTACCATAGTGAGGGGGTGAGCAGATTGCTCAATCGACAATTACAATCTTTGGTATAAATATAGATAGCAAATCCAGAGACTGGTTGTAACACTTTTTTTTCGACGCCTCGTACCCTTAAGATTCGAGTGCCATATATTGGCAATCCATAGTGGATCGTATAGCGATATCTATCGTGAACAATATAATTTAGTTGAATGGGATCCTTAGAAAATCTATATTTTATTTATCATAGATGGCGTTAGGTCACCTTGTTGTTTTGTCTTTGTTTATTTCCTTAGATTATTTCGGTACTAGTGATTTTATTGTCTTATATATAATATATAAGACAATAAAATATAAATATAGAATACTATCATTTTAATTATGTTGAACTGATATCAAGCAAATTTGTTTTTACATAATTTTCGATTAGAAACATTGTCTTGTTTAGCATAGTCTGTTGTTTGTATCATCTGTTGTTCCTGCGAGAACGGCAGTCAGCTTCGTCTTGATCATTTCTTATTGGAGGTCTGAGGCGGCCGCCGCCTGGCGGCAGCGCCTCTGCATAGTTCGAGAATGTAGGAAAGGAGTATGTGGCATCCTCCACATCCTTTTACATCCTACTTGTATATGGCTTCCTGGCCTTTATATTTTATATAAAAAACCCACATCGTTGGTAAGTTTCCTTTGTGCATATATTTTTGGGATCTGACTGTTTTCGGTCCATCATTCGTTTGTTAACAATTGGTATTTTGTTACAGGGTTTTTTTTTATTGGTTTCTCTTTCTTCTTTAATGCTACCTCGTATCACTCTGATCTGCTTCTCTCTGATGGCTTGATATCGAACCGCGTGTTCGCCTTATATGCAACTGCATATATATTAAGAATCTGAGGTCCTGCTGTCCATGTGTAACTTGAAGCCGCGGACTAGCTGAATGCCCCTCGGTGGCTTGTGAGCATTGCTGAGCTGAGGTCTTCACCCTTATTTGGAAAGTGGGAAGGCAAGCCTGGTTATGTTTCCTTCTGGTATGTGTTTGCTCTAATCTAACTAGCCATTAAACTCATGATTATATTTTTATACTGCTTTGTGACAGTGATTAATTTAATGTATACTTAACTCTTAATGT